CCATTTTTGGCAATATTTGAATTGCGTTATATAAGGAAATTTAATTGATTTTGAGATCGGAAAAAATTGTTTTTATTGTTAAGGGTTTTAATTTAGTATTAGGGGTAAGCTTCGAACTGCCATTTTTGGCAATATTTTGGTTCCCTAATAATAAATACCCCCCTAATACTAAAAACTACTTGCCGTGTTTTGTATTAGGGGGGGGGGTTTAGTATTAGGAGGAAGGGATTAATTGTTGTTGCTGTAGTTGTAATGTAGTGTAGTGGTAGTGGTCGTGGTAGTTGTAGCTGTAGCTGTACTTGTTGCTGTCGTGTCGTGAACGTCCAAAAGTGATCCGAATGTGGTGTGCTTTTCGCATTTTTGACTTCGAAATGCCCTTGGCCCCACAAAGGCGTGCACCTTTTTGCCATCTTAACTTCAAAAAATGTCCCGAGACCGCCAGTTTTCAACACGTTGACTTCGAAATTTGCTTTGCGCCAGAACACCGTTCACTTTTTGGACATCTCAACTTCCAAAAGTGCTCCGAACGTGGTGTGCTTTGCACGTTTTGACTTGGAAATGTGCTTCAGGCCACAACGCCGTGCACTTTTTGAACATATCAACTTCCAAAAGCGCTCCGATCGTTGTGTTTTGCACGTTTTTATACTTGGACATGTGCTTCGCGCCACATCGCCGTGCATTTTTTCAACATCTCAACTGCCAAAAGTGCTTCGGACGTGCGGTGCTTTTAGCTTTTTCACGTGCCACAAATGGCTCCGCACCCGCCGCTTTAGCGAGCCTACTTTTTGAACTTCCGGAGCCACAAATCATTGGAAAAACACAGTGTTCCGCGACTTTTCTACCTTTTCGCGCACCTGCATCTTCTTTCTTCTGAATCGTTCTCTTCTTTGATCTTCTTTCTTCTTCTTTTCTCTTCTCTGGCTCTTCCCACCTCTGCTTTTCCGTCTGTCCATATTGTCGAAGTTTGACTTCTAAACTTCCTTCGATGATGGCAGGGAACCAATATTTCACTCTATTTTGCCACATGTCACCGATGTCGTTGAACATCATTGAACCATTTGTTCGCCAGCCCACCGCTCCTTCATCTGTCCTTCAGAAGCAGCTACCCTCAGCTGTGGCTCAACTTGGTCAAGGGCATTCCAATCAGGCATGCTGGTCAGAATATCATACACGTCATCATAGAGATCATTTTCCAAAGCGGACCTGAGATTTCCAACCTGTTCACGGAAAACGTCATGCACCTTGTCCGAAAATGCGACTTGGATAGGCTTTTCTGCGCTCTTGCAATCTGATGCCGATCCACACTCTGATGAGAGGTACTTGATTGATAGATTCTCACGCTTCAAAACCTCTGTGTTTCGGTTTGCATAATCTTCACTGATTGGAAACACACTTCTGGTGCGGCCATGGCGATCCTGGCTTTCAATCTCAATGCCACGGATGGCACTGCAGTCGCAAGCCTGCTTTGCGGGAAGGCCGATCCGGGTTAACTTGCGTAAGAAAAGGAGACTTGTTGGCACCAGAGCCAACTTTTCTGTGATACGATCGCGGATCTGCCCAAAGGAACCTGAGCATGGCTTCCCGCACAGGTCAGCATCTTCATCAAAGACAAGAAACCAGGGCACCGCAGTTCTGACACAGCGACGGCCCTTTTCCAAGTCATTCCTGAGCTCCCTCACTTTCACTGGGCCAGTGACATTGTGAAGTAAAATTTTCACTTCAAAATGAGCAAATGAATCTTCTAACTCCTTCGCAAGCTTTGCGATCCTCTGGCCTAGCTCCACTGCGCTTGGCTGGTCCAAACGATGCCAAACATAACGTATCATCTCCAGGACCGGGAGAAGGTACCTGGTTGAAGCTGAAGCGCACCCACCGCGTATATAGGAAGCCAGATCACCGAGCACGGCAAAAGAGCGCGAACGAATTTCATCAGACATCCTCTTCACCTCGGCAGAACTTCCGATTCAACTGACATTTAGACCCCGCCCAACTTTGAGATCGACCTGCTGAACTCCAACCGAAGCCATCCGATGAATAGCAACAAACATTTTTTTTCAAGCTGAACGAGTTAGATTCCTTGAGATTAGACCAATTTCAAGCATCTTTAATCACCCCCTAGTCCTGCGGTAGATCCATTCCGTTCCTTGCAACCACCCATCTGAGACACAGACCTTGTTCTTGAAGTCCTCCTGTAAATAGCCGTCAAACTCTCTCGCTGAAATCCTGCCACAGATCAGGTATGGAACAAAGTGGCCGAAGGTCGCAAAACCATAGCACCATGAGTGTGCAAGTGGAGCTTCAACAGGACTCCCCATTGACTCATCTGCGTTCGTTTGGCGCTTTCACATTGTCATGGCACACACGCTAAACCATTGCTGCCAAAGTGACATGACAAACTTTCTGCTTGCATGGTTGATTCCCTATTGAACTAGCCTCTCGTAAGAAAAGGTAGCATTAAATTCATGTCAACAAAACATAGACGGCTTTTTTTGCCAAAGACCCCAAAAAATAGTTAACAACACTGTATAAACTGGAAAAAACATACTAGATATATTACTTACCTATACTTTGGAAGGTAATGCTCTGTTGGAAGGGTACGGTCCTCAAAAATGATGGCACGGTGAAGGGTACGGTGCGTTGGGTACGGTGCTACGGTATGGTGGGTACGGATGGGTACGGTAGGTACGGTACGGTGGGTATGGTGGTATATGCGGTGGCACAGCGTCGGGGTACGGTGGGTCCTGTGGTACGATACGGTCAGTATGGTGGGTACGGTGGGCAGTGGGTTCCCCTGTGCACACACCGTATCGTAACCATCGCACCCCCTGTACCAAGAGACCGAACCAGCGACCCAAGACATGCGTACCCACCGTACCGTACCCATAGAAAGTGTCATATGTACCTGCCCGGGCTGAGTCATCAGAACACATTCTTTTCATTTCTATCGAAATTAGAAAAGAAATTACTAGATTATATAACTTTTGGTCCCTATGTCCAAAAACACTGGAGCAAAAGATATTGATATACAAGCCTTAGCCCACCAAGGGCTCGATTTGATTCATTGATTAACCGAAACAGAATGTGGTGCCAGGGGTGTGTAGATGCCTGTCAGTTTTTGAAAACCCACAATTCAGTCCTCAGGTGCTCAAACTTCTCAAAGGCCGCCACTAGGTCAAAATCAGGATCTGGTTTTCGGAGTTCCTGAAGCTGATCGTCCAAGCCAGCCTCAAGGTAGGTCCTTATCGCTCGAACCAAAGCGCTGCTCTTGTCGTTCCCTCCCCGGAAGTACGAACCCAATGAGGAAAAGAAACTTTGGGAGCCATCAGCTTGACTTTCCGGCAGAGACCGGCTGAACCAACCACTTTCTGCATCAAGCGCTTTGCGAACCTCCTGCACTCCTGCCTTTGTTTCCAACAAGGCACCTACACTTTTCTGGGCTTCATCAAGCGCATCTTCCAAGAGGCACCCTTCTAAATGAAGCTTCAACGGGCCATGAATTGCCACAAACATAGAGGAGGACTTCACTTCACCTGCGAACTCTGAAAGGCCTGCGCACAAGTGTGCAGTCCATTCACGATATGCCGCTGACAAGGCTGGAATGTCCTCGCGGAGCTGCTTGGCTTGGCTCATAGTCGAAGATATGAACATCAAGTCTAACTTTGGGACCTCGCCAGATGTCTTAAATGATTTGGCCGACCCAAGCATCCGGTCCATGAGAGCCGCCAGGTTCATCTTGGCTGTTGCACGTTCATCCACCAGCTTCATCGTTTGCACAAGCGACTCCAGCTGAGAGGCTATGCTTGCATTTTGAGCCATGCCGATGAAGGTCTGCAAGTGATTCCAGATATCATAAAAAGCCCCCAAGTCACTGATGTACTCCTGCGAAATCTGCTGAGTCAGGTTCTCATGAAGCTCTGTGCCATGGCGGGACAGGGTGTGGACGACTTCCTGCTTCAAGTCCTCAATGTGAGTGGCATTGCGACTCAGCATTTTGCCACCAAATTTCGCATCCACTTGCCATACAACCTCACCGAAGGCAAAGAGACATGCAACTTCCCGACAATTTGCAAGAGCGGCAAAAGAACGCGCGCGAATCTCATCAGGTATCATCTTCACCTTGGCAGAACTTCCCAGTCAGCTGACACTGAGACCGTACCCAACTTGGACATTGACCTGCTGAACTGTCAAGCTAGAACTTTCAGAACAACTTCCAACATCTTCAAACACCTTCTAAGCCTGCTGTTGGTCCATTCCATTTTTCTGACAGCGACCCTTTCTGAGACACAGACCTTGTCCTGAAAGTCTTGCTGTACGTGGACGTCAAGCCCTGTTGCTGTAGTCCTGAAAATTCTCAAAATATAAACTGAAGGTTCAAGACGACCTTCCTTCATTGTACAATGTATACCAAGATCTAGCTGCACACCGAACTTCTCTTTATTCTTTGGGAAAACTGTACTGTACTGTGCAGATACGTAAAAATGCACTCTTAGGGAAATTTTGGCGAGGCCTGTAGTCGCTACACCCTGGCTGACACAGTGACATGAAACATTCTAGATCTCGCAGGTGTGATTCTCTATGACACTAATCCAAAAGACTATACATGTTTTTTTGTTAAACAAATTTATCCATCAAACCATCAAGCCGTTTCTGACTTGGTGATCCATCCAACCTAGATCATTCTTCAAAACAGCAAATGATGTCACTTTTCCTTTAATGACATCTGACATCTCTGTCTATGACCACCTACCCTTTCGGTCCTCAGGTGGTCAAACTTCTCAAAGGCCGCCACTAGATCAAAATCAGGATCTGGTTTTCGGAGTTCCTGACGCTGATCGTCCAAGCCAGCCTCAAGGTAGGCCCCCACCGCTCGAACCAAAGCGCTGCTCTTGTCGTTCCCTCCCCGGAAGTACGAACCCAATGAGGAAAAGAAACTTTGGGAGCCATCAGCTTGACTTTCCGGCAGAGACCGGCTGAACCAACCACTTTCTGCATCAAGCGCTTTGCGAACCTCCTGCACTCCTGCCTTTGTTTCCAACAAGGCACCTACACTTTTCTTGGCTTCATCAAGCGCATCTTCCAAGAGGCACCCTTCTAAATGAAGCTTCAACGGGCCATGAATTGCCACAAACATAGAGGAGAACTTCACTTCACCTGCGAACTCGGAAAGGCCTGCGCACAAGTGTGCAGTCCATTCACGATATGCCGCTGACAAGGCTGGAATGTCCTCGCGGAGCTGCTTGGCTTGGCTCATAGTCGAAGATATGAACATCAAGACTAACTTTGGGACCTCTCTAGATGTCTTAAATGATTTGGCAGACCCAAGCATCTGGTCCATGAGAGCCGCCAGGTTCATCTTGGCTGTTGCACGCTCATCCACCAGCTTCATCGTTTGCACAAGGGACTCCAGCTGAGAGGCTATGCTTGCATTTTGAGCCATGCCGATGAAGGTCTGCAAGTGATTCCAGATCTCATAAAAAGCCCCCAAGTCACTGATGTACTCCTGAGAAATCTGCTGAGTCAAGTTCTCATGAAGCTCTGTGCCATGGCGGGACAGGGTGTGGACGACTTCCTGCTTCAAGTCCTCAATGTGAGTGGCATTGTGGCTCAGCATTTTGCCACCAAATTTCGCATCCACTTGCCATACAGCCTCACCGAAGGCAAAGAGACATGCAACTTCCCCGCAATTTGCAAGAGCGGCAAAAGAACGCGCGCGAATTTCATCAGGAATCATCTTCACCTTGGCAGAACTTCCCAGTCAGCTGACACTGAGACCGTACCCAACTTGGACATTGACCTGCTGAACTGCCACAAACAGCTTGCTGTCAAGCCAGAGCCTTTAGAAGTATGTATTGCAGTAGCAGGCTTCGACTGGAAGCGGCAAACAAAATGAAATTGCAAATTAGTTTACTTCGAGTGACCCCCCACGGGGCGTATTTACGGCCTATATTTTCTGACATTCTTTTCCGGCATTCTATACGACATATTATTCTGACATTCTATTCTGGCATTCTATCTATCTGACATCCTTCTGACATTTATTCGGACATTTTTCTCTGGCATTCTATCTGGCATTCCTTCTGATATTCTATCTCGTCTCGCATCTAGTCTGACATCCTTTCTGCCATCTATTCTGGCATTCTATCTGACATTCTAATCTGGTATATTCTGGCCTTCTATCTGGCATCTATTTTGACTTGTATTCTGCCATTCTATCTGGCATTCATTCTGGCATTCTTTCTGGGATCTATTCTGGCATCCAGTCTGGCATTCTATCTGATGTTCTATCCTCCCATTCTATCTGGCATCTCTTCTCTCTGTCAGTGGAGCTCGGGGTTGAGGCGATCTGCAGCTCGCGGTTGAGGTTCGGGCGTGTTGAGCTCCAGATCTCGCGGTTGAGGTCCGGCAGTGCCCAGTGAAATCTTGATCTGAGCTCGCGGCAGTGCCCTGGTTGGGCCCCCTCAGTGCCCACTCAGATCTGGAGCCTGTATGCCCCCCTGAGATCTGGAGCTCCCAGTTGAGGTTCGGCAGTGCCCACTGAGATCTGGAGCTTGCTGTTGCGGGAAGGAGGAAGGGGGAGGAAGGTGGAGGGAGGGAAGTTACTCTGATAACTCAAATCTAAAGACCCTCACCTGACAGATACCGGAAAAAGAGTTGGCAAAAAAGACATCCAGGCAGAAACACATGAAAAAATGAAATGGGAAAGTGATGGGCTGGAAAACGCAAAAACAGGAACTTTGGCAGACATGCAAAAGCCAAAAATGTAAAGAACAACAAGTACATCAAAAAGATAAACGCTTTCAACCACAGAATGTACGGCCTCTTGGACAGAAGTGAGCATGCCCGAGAAAATATAGAAGTGCTGTGATCTTATTGGGAACGGTTGAAATTGCACCTTGTTTGTGTGCGGTTTCCGCATCAATTGCTTTTGTTGCGTTCCTTCTGCCCCGGTTCCTCGTCCCCCCTTCCTTCCCTTCATCCTTTTCCTCCTCTTTCCTTCTCTTTCATTCTCTTTCCTCCCCCTTCCTTTCGTTTTCCTTTCCTTTCCCTTTCCTTTCCCTTGTTCCTTTCCTTTCCCTTGTTCCTTTCTTTCCGCTTGCTCTTCCTTTCCCTTTCCTTTCCCTCTCCTTTCCATTTCCTTTTCCGTGTTCCCTTCCTTTTCCTTTCCTTTTCCATTCCTTTTCCCTTCCTTGTCCCTACTTCCCGATCCGCCCAACCCCTTTCCTTTCCCTTATCTTGCCCTTTCCCATCCCTTGGCCTATTCCCTTCCCTTTCCCTTTCCGTTTCCCTTTCCCTTTCCGTTCCTTTTCCCTGTCCTGTCCCTTCTCTTTCCCCTTCTCCTTTTCTCCTCCTTTTCTCTCATCCTTTTCTCATCCTTTTCCCTTCTCTTTCCCCTCCTTTGCCCCTCCTTTGCCTGCCCCTTCTCCCTCCCTTTCTCCTCCCTTTCCCTTCCCTTCTCTCTTCCGACTCCCCCTTCCCACCCTTTTCCCGTCTCTTTTATCATGTTTTACACATGTTTCACCTCTTTCCTGATGTTTTCCCCTGTTTTCACTTCTTTTTACTATGCTTTAACTTTTCTTGGAAAAAAACATTTCAAAAAAACTAGGGAAAATTGACGGAAAATGACCAAAAAAAATAAGGGGAAAACAACACAAAAAATCACAAAAAGCGGAAAATGACAAAAGTGGAACAAATGGGGGAAACAACGAAAAAATGTGACAGAAAAAAAGTGACGAGGGGGGAAGGGGGAGGGTGAGCATTCGGTGACATTGACTGGCGTTCGGCGTGGCACGCGCACTTGGTGACATCGACCTTCGTTTTGCGTGGCAAGCATGGCACTTGCAGGACTGGGCTGGGCCTGGTGGCGACTTTGCCTGGTCGGTGACATTGACTGCGGCTTGGCGTGGCAGGCCTGGCACTTGGTGACATCGACCTTTGTTTTGCGTGGTCCACATTCCTTTTACGTGGCAGGCGTGGCACGGTGACATTGACTGCCTTTTGGCGCGGCAAGCGTGGCTCTTGGTGACATCCACGCTGCTTTTGCGTGGCAGTGGCACTTGCTGACACCCACGTTCGCTTTGAGTGGCAGGCGCGGCCTTTATGGCTTTGGTTTTGGTTTGGTGGCGCGCTTGGTCCGAGTTGGTCGCCCGTGGCACCGCGGCAGTTTGCGTGGCAGGCGTGGTGCTTAGCGACATCCACGATCTTTTACACTCATACACATCTTTCACATACAACTGTTTGACGATTATCGATCCTCCACCATCTCCTTTGTCTTTCCTCCCTGACTCCCTTCCCCGTACCGCTTCAACCCCTGTTTGCAATTATTGGAGTGGGATTATCCGGTCCTTTAATTATGGGTTTCAGAAGGAACATTCGGCACTTTTCCTGTTTAAGCACCTTTCGAACGTAGCAGGGCCTGCACCAGCACCTTTCCAGCAGCAGCAGCAGCAGCAGGAGGCTCTTTTTTTTCGGTGTTTTTTACATCTTGTTTCCTTGCGTTTCACTTTTTCCTTTTTTTGATTCATACAGATTTCCGATGAAAACCTGCAAAAAAAATAACTTTGGAACAACTTCCAACATCGGCAAACACCTTCTAAGCCTGCTGCAGGCCCATTCCATGCTTATTACAGCGACCCTTTCTAAGACACAGACCTTGTCCTGCAACTCTTGCTGTACGTGGCCGTCAAGCTCTGTTGCTGCAATCCTGTCGCAAATCATGCGACGAATGAATGGCTGGAGCTTCTCAAAGCTGAAGCACTCTCACTGCACAAAGAGAAATTCATCCGGGCGTGAGGCGTGATGCTAAAAAAGATTTCTTCACAGTATGTCAATTTTCCGCCACACCTAACGATTTCGGCAAGTTTCTCTAACAAATTCTTGCATGGCTTTCAGTGCGGAAGCCCCCTGGGGGTACAATTTCGGGCAGGGAGCTTTACAGTACCGCTTGCAAAAGACTGCTGATCGAAGTCATCCACTATACAAGGCATCGCATCCTGTAAATTCCCTTTTCCGACAACCAAATTTTAACATCATTCACCCAGTCTGAACATGTTCCATGGTCCCATGCCCTTCCGTCCTAAGGGGCTCAAACTTCTCAAATGTAGCCATGAGATCAAAATTGAAATCTGATTTTCGCAGCTCCTTGAGTTGATCTTCAAGGCCGTTCTCAAGATCAGCCACAGCTGATCCAAACAATGCGCTGCTTCCATGGCTCTCGCCGAAAACATATGAGCCCAATTGGGAAAAATAACTTTGGGTACCACGAGCTTCACTTCCTGAAAGAATGCGGCCACTTCCTGAGATATCCTGGCATCCACCCAAGTAGTCCTTTAATTCGTTACAAATGGTCCGAAACACGAAGTTCGCAGCAAGCTGAGAGGATTTCACTTCACCTGTGAACTCGGAAAGGCCTGCGCACAAGTGCGCAGTCCATCCACGATATGCCACTGACAAGGCTGGAATGTCCTCGAGGAGCTGCTTGGCTTGGCTCATAGTCGAAGATATGAACATCAAGTCTAACTTTGGGACCTCTCTAGACGTCTCAAATGATTTGGCCGACCCAAGCATCCGGTCCATGAGAGCCGCCAAGTTCATCTTGGCTGTTGCACGCTCATCCACCAGCTTCATCGTTTGCACGAGCGACTCCAGCTGAGAGGCTACGCTTGCATTTTGAGCCGTGCCGATGAAGGTCTGCAAGTGATTCCAGATCTCATAAAAAGCCCCCAAGTCACTGATGTACTCCTGCGAAATCTGCTGAGTCAGGTTCTCATGAAGCTCTGTGCCATGGCGGGACAGGGTGTGGACGACTTCCTGCTTCAAGTCCTCAATGTGAGTGGCATTGTGACTCAGCATTTTGCCACCAAATTTCGCATCCACTTGCCATACAGCCTCACCGAAGGCAAAGAGACATGCAACTTCCCCGCAATTTGCACGAGCGGCAAAAGAACGCGCGCAAATCTCATCAGGTATCATCTTCACCTTGGCAGAACTTCCCAGTCAGCTGACACTGAGACCGTACCCAACTTGGACATTGACCTGCTGAACTGCAACAAACGGTTTACTACCAGGCTAGAACTTTTAGAACAACTTTCAACATCTTCAAACACCTTCTAAGCCTGCTTCTGGTCCATTCCATGCTTCTTACAGCGACCCTTTCTGAGACACAGACCTTGTCCAGAAAGTCTTGCTGTACGTGGACGTCAAGCTCGGTTGCTGTAGTCCTGACGATTCTCAAAGTACAAACTGAAGGTTCAAGAGGGCCTTTCTTCATTGTACAATGTATACCAAGATCTAGCTGCACACCGAACTTCTCTTTATTCTTTGGGAAAACTGTACTGTACTGTAAAGATACGTAAACATGCACCCTTAGGGAAGTTTTCGTGAGGCCTAGGTGTAGTTGCTACACCCTGGCTAACAGTGACATGAAACATTCTAGATCTCGCAGGTGTGATTCTCTATAAAACTCATCCATAAGACTGTACATGTTGTCCCTTAAACTTGTCCATCAAACCATCAAGTTGTTCCCCACATCTTTGTGTGCTTTTCTTTGGTCTTTTTTTTGGTTGTGCACTCCCGCCATCGTCCCGCGTCACTCCCGCCGCCTCTCGCCGCTCCTTCCTCACACACACCTTATTCAAACACAACTTACTAACACACACGCACACACACAACTTGCTCACACACAACTTGTCCACACACAGCTTGTTCACACACAACTTACTCACATACAACTTGCTCACACACAACTTGTCGACACACAACTTGCTCACACCCAACTTGTCCACACATACAAGTGCTCACACACCTTGTTCACACACAACTTGTCCACACGCAGCTTACTCACACACAACTTGCTCACACACAACTTACTCACACACAACTTGCTCACACACAACTTGCTCACACACAACTTGTCCACGCGCAACTTGCTCACACACAGCTTGTCCACACACAACTTGTCTACACACAACTTGCTCACAAACAACTTGTCCCTTGTCGGCAGGCGTGGCACTGGGTAACATCGACCTTCACTTTGCATGGCAGGCGTGGCCCTTGGCGACATCGACCTCCACTTTGCGTGGCAAGCGCGGCACACTTGGCAACAGCGACGTGCATTCTGCGTGGCAGGCGTGGCACTTATGCCACTGGGCTGGCTCTGGTGGCGCGCTTGGGTCCCATTTGGCGCCGTTGTCGCCGCAGCTGTTTGTGTGGCAGGCGTTGCACTTGGGGACGCAAAGTTTCATTTTGCGTGGCATGAGTGGCACTCGGTGGCATCGATGTTGCTCGTTGAAGTCAGATGTTGTGAAAAGGTAGCTAGATTGTGCACAACAGTTTTGTTAGTTCGATGTCACCTGTTGCCGGTTGCACATGTCTTTGCTGTCGCTCTTCTACTCAGCCCGACGTAATCTTGTCTGTCACCTGGTTGCCCGGGGATGCGGGTTGACGGACCCTTGCGTGCTTGGGGCCAACGTTCGCTTCCCAACTGCGTATGTTGACACTTCTGTTTGTATCCTCCCGTGTCTGGTCCAGACATGCGGCTGCCAGGTACCTCTCCGTCTTCGTTGTGCACGTGCCGCCGTTGCTCTACGCCGTCTTCAACACACACGCGCACACGCACACACACTGGTATCCCAGTCGCCTTCTGGTGAAGGATCAGCGTCGCAAATTGAGCTGTAAAAATGGCAGGCTTAAGCAGTTCCTTTGTTTGCTTGTTCCTCTGCTTGATACCTACTTGATTGAAAAACTGTTACTGCATTTCATGAAGAAGATTGCGGTGAGACCAAGTAAGGCCCAACACGCGGAAGTACACACAGTTTATTCTGACCTGTATTCCTAAGTCGCCTTCGATGTCAGGGACGCGAACGAGTGCAGCGGACCTGATTTACCTAAACAATCCTAAACAGCCTGACTGCAACAGCCTGACTGCAACAGCCTGACTGCAACAGCTTGATTAACAGTTTCAAATGTGCAGGTACGTCAGAAAGACGTCCCTTTCTGATATCACAGATCAAAGAAGCAAGCGTCTTTGTTGGTGCCAGACTTGCAATGATCCCTGGCACCCCCTGCATGCTCGAAAATCGAAAACATCCTAACTAAAATCGCTGCGTGGGAACACCGGAAGTATCTCTGAAGTCGTCATCTTTCGGACTTCTCCACGAGAAACACAATGCGCAAAATCTTACGCTTCTTCGCCCTCATCCTCTTCCTGACTTCACCATCTCATGATCTACATTGCATGTACACATGTTGAATGCGTAGACATTCTTCAAGAGTGATCCAAGTTCTTGGAAATGCGCGACGCTGAAATGCAAACCGCCACGGGCAAAGCATGTTTTTCTGAAATCACCATTCTCTTTTGATACCTTCGCCGTCTTCTTTGTGGATTGCCGTCGTCAAATTTATTGCGAATTTCTAGCAGCATGCTGGATGGTTGCAAAATAACGGAAACGAAGGAACTTGGCGCTTGCGAAGTCCTTCGAGCACAGGAGTTGACACACACACACACATACACACGCACTTTCACCCACAGCACTTTCACGCACGACTCTATCACCCCCACTTTTACACAACTTCGCACACACTCCTTTCACCAACAACACTTTTACACGGAACTCTTTTGCACACCTCACTTCGATATGCATTTCTTGCACACACCGATCCTCCACCATCTCTTGTCTCTTTCCTGCCCTTCCCATCCCATCTTCACCTTTCTTTGGCTACTTGTTGGAAGAAGTTGACATGTGGAGTTATCTGGTTCTTTAAATCTTGAATTGGTGATGCGTCTAACCTAGATCATTCTTCAAAACAGCAAATCATGTCACTTTTCCTTTAATGACATCTGACATCTCTGTCTATGACCACCTACCCTTTCGGTCCTCAGGTGCTCAAACTTCTCAAATGCTGCCACTAGATCAAAATCAGGCTTTGGTTTTCGGAGTTCCTGAAGGTGATCGTCCAAGCAAGCCTCAAGGTAGGCCCCCACCGCTCGAACCAAAGCGCTGCTCTTGTCGCTCCCTCCCCGGAAGTACGAACCCAATGAGGAAAAGAAACTTTGGGAGCCATCAGCTTGACTTTCCGGCAGAGACCGGCTGAACCAACCACTTTCTGCATCAAGCGCTTTGCGAACCTCCTGCACTCCATCCTTTGTTTCCAACAAGGCACCTACACTTTTCTTGGCTTCATCAAGCGCATCTTCCAAGAGGCACCCTTCTAAATGAAGCTTCAACAGGCCATGAATTGCCACAAACATAGAGGAGGACTTCACTTCACCTGCGAACTCTGAAAGGCCTGCGCACAAGTGTGCAGTCCATTCACGATATGCCGCTGACAAGGCTGGAATGTCCTCGCGGAGCTGCTTGGCTTGGCTCATAGTCGAAGATATGAATATCAAGTCTAACTTTGGGACCTCTCCAGACGTCTCAAATGATTTGGCCGACCCAAGCATCCGGTCCATGAGAGCCGCCAGGTTCATCTTGGCTGTTGCACGTTCATCCACCAGCTTCATCGTTTGCACGAGCGACTCCAGCTGAGAGGCTACGCTTGCATTTTGAGCCGTGCCGATGAAGGTCTGCAAGTGATTCCAGATCTCGTAAAAGGCCCACAAGTCACTGATGTACTCCTGAGAAATCTGTTGAGTCAGGTTCTCATGAAGCTCAGTGCCATGGCGGGACAGGGTGTGGACGACTTCCTCCTTCAAGTCCTCAATCTGGTATAAATTGTGACCCCACATGTGGCCACCAATTGTTGCGTCCACTTGCCACACAGAATCACAGATGGCAAAGACACATGCCGCATCCTGGCAGGACTTCGCAGCACCCTGTGCCTTCTTCAGGCAGTTGCTCACATGCCAAGGGAGAGCCTGGAAGCAAGGTACACCTGTTCAGGGCTTTCTTGGCTGCAAACAAGACATGGATTAGGAGAGCTGTCATTTTAGACTATTTGACATCCGCCGGCCTCCACCAAACCATAATTTGGCCCTCAGCTTGTTGGAGTCTAGAAAGCTTGACGGCCGGAGCAACTCCTCAAATTGTTGGGAAGTCTGGAAAATGCCTCCGGCCCCACTACTTTCATTCATGCCACACGTCAGGAGTTCGCCACAACGTTCGTGCTGCCATTGGTTCTCCTGCCACACTGCAAGACTTGTGGCCAGAGCCAGAGCAACGAAAATGATCGCACCCCATATCTTCTGTGACATTGAGCTGCAGCCTTGAGGAACGGGCGGTGTATCAGCTGCAACAGGGATTGGAGCTTCTGCTGGCACTGGCAGCGCAGCGGCTGGTGCAAGGGCCACTGGGGCCACGGCTGCTGGCGCAACGATCACCGGTGCCGCACCCTCTGGCTGCTCAGCCACTGGCGCCACAACGACCAGTGCCTCAGCTGCTGGTAGCTGAGCACGGTCTGTCACATCGCTCAGTAGGTCCCACGAACGAGTAGAAGCATTGGACGAAAGCCCCATGGCCAACTTCAACTCCTACCAGCCCAAGATTCACGCAACATGCGGCAAACCAGGGAAGAAGACACACGCGAATTGCTATCAGAATATAGCATGCTTTCCATGTCTTTCCAATTAATTATATCTCAGTCTAAAGCTTGAAAGGATAACCACGTCTGTAAATGTCAAGACCACCATGAATTCCGCCATCTGAAACCCAATGTTAACAGCCACAAACGTTCCCAATCCATGCCTTCTCGAGTTTTTTGGCATCTCCGAAGGTCAAGCGCATCTCCTTGCGAATCTCTTCCATCGACATCGAGGCCAATATCTCAGGATCGATCCTTTCACGGATGATGCAATCCTTGGCAGCGGCAGCCTCTTGCTCGGGGCAGGAGATGCTGAGCAGAAAGCTGGCTACCCATTCGGCAGCATCGTCCACCGTCTTGAATTGCGGGTTTCCCATGGTCTCTAAGTTGACTCAACCAGAGGCCGAACAGAATCACGTCACGGGGTGATTTAAAATGGCTCCGGGGATGTGATGAGCATCAAAATAGCACAAAAAGGATTCAGAGAGAGTACTTGATCTCACTGATCGAGTTTGAAGAGTTGCACAATGAAGCCATCTTCATCTATGCTGGACTAGTTCTTCTATCGCCACTGCAGTGCTTGGCCCTGGCATGACGCGCCTGGCTGTGGACATAGACCTCAGGAGCACTTTAAGAAGTATATGGCCGAGAAAGTGGAGATTACAGCCATTCGCATGAGAGGCAAATCTTTCCATCAGATTTGAATAGAGCCCGGGAAAAGCTGGGACAGTGGACTCAAGAAGATATCTCAAGATCTAAATCCTTCCAGTGAAAGCAATAGATTAACGACTTTCTCTTCTCCCTTGCAATTTACGCTTCACTGCCATCACTGCTAAGCCCGGAAGGTAACCAAAACCTATCCAAATCAGAACTAAGTCACCAGCGCAGCTGGTGGACGTTCCATAGGAGGCGCAGGACGCTTGGAAAGAACAACTCAAGGACAATGATGCTGTGTTATGTGCACGTAAAGAGAACTTGCAAGCCTTTCTTCCGCTGCACAGCAATTCTAAAGCAAACAAAGACTGATAAATCTCTTCTAGGCCTGATGGTTGCAAATCTATGCATTCACACACTGAGCCGATCTGAGCCGTGTCAAGTTGCGGATTTAAACTTATGCTCTACCGAAGTGACACAACCAGAGAAACCGCAATTCACTGCCACCCCGAATAAACTCCATCTCCTCTCCAGAATCTGCTCTAGTGAGGTGTGCTTGAAACCCATTTTGCACCACCATTCAGCAGCATGTTCGCAACTGTTCGCTGGCTGCTACAAACAACTTGAGCTTGTCTCGAGCTGCTGGGGTGTACGGATCCATCAGGCTCAAGGAGACCATCTTCACCTGAAACCAAAGTGCAACGTCTGAAGACCACAACTGGCAAAACGCATAAAAATACTCGTGAAAATCAGAATATCTGCAAAACAAATCAAGAACATGTGGTATCATATATGGTAACATATGCATCTATTGATTGATCGAACTTGTTGGCAACAGTTGGCAACCTGCAAAAATATGCACTGTCCAAATCCATTGCATTGTAGGTCCCAGCCTCACAAGATTCACGATGCGTTCGCGCTTCACCTCTCACATCCACCTGTTGTGACCAAAAAAATCCCCAAGAGACGACCACAAATCCCCTCTCAATGGGTTCAAACTATAGTTCTGTAAATATATAATTCAAACGAGAACAACCAGAAACCCCATAAACAATCTTGAACAGCAATAAAAAGTCTGATACCAATTGGCAGGTTTTACAGCCACTTGCCTCAAGAGTTGTTGGTTGCATCGACCAGGCCTTCGTCTGGTCGGCTGTGGGCTATGTCATGTAAACCTCATAGCTCCAAGCATGTGCCCTCCAGGGGTCCATCTGGCGGTTGAGCCATCCATCTCCATTTTGCTTCTGCCCTGCCCTGAGTTCCCAACGGAGGATGCCGTTTCAATGGCAATGTCCGTGAAGCCGGAGCCAAGCTCCCGGGCCTGATGGTAGGATCTTAAGGAAGGAAAAGGTAAGTTTTGTGATGAAGGCCGGTTTGGGGTTTCCTGAATGAACAGATCCAAGCCCCGCAATCCAAAATACCCCGAGGGTTCTCCAAAATGAACAGATCCAAAACTACACCGGGGTGGCTTTTAGGGGAGCATCGCTGACCAGAAATTGGTTGCTGTATACCACCATATACCCAGCAACTCGCCACCCACCACCATTCAGCCATGGACCTGTCTCTGGCTCAGTTTAGCCCCGGGCCAGTTGGTACCGCGTCTCCAAGTTGGGAACACCCTGAGCCGCTGGGGTGTCAGGTGGTTGAGGATGTTGAGGTGAGTTGAGCCAGCTATGTCACAATGTTTCACTAGCAAAAGCTGTGCAGAAAAGGCGATGTCCAGAAACATGAGCTGCTTGTGAATCAATTATGATGAACACATCCAAATCTCACTTTCGTTGTTTCTAAACCCATCCAACTCCTCCTGAAATTCTCGAAGTTCACAGGGCCCCTTTCTTCCAGCCCTTCCAGCTGTGCGACTTTTTCTCGGCTCCCGACTTCTCTCAGGAACTGCTTCATGCGCATCATCTGCGCCGGGAACTGTTCAGGGCATGGCCTTGGTTTGCCATGGGATGATTTTCAGCGTTTCAGATAACCATAGATAATAAATATAAATATATGTTATGTGTATATATATATATAAGAGCTGTCTCAAAGACTTGAAACCCCGTTCAATCCCAAAAAAATAAGATAACATAAGATAGCCATAGAATACCATAGAAAAGTCTGCTATTTTTATCTCAAACACTTGGGAGCTTGTCCCATCCCCATGAAAATGGCCATCGATAGCGAGCTGCTCATCCAGGCAGAGCTGGACGATGGCATGCAACCAGTCCTAGCGTAGCGCCGGCGTATCTGGGTCGGGCTATCCGGTTAACATCACCTGAAACAAGGGGTAACTCCCTCAGATAACCTGATGTGGTCGGGCCTTGGAGAAAGACCTGAAGTATCCTGAAGTGATGGCTTTTCTCCCAGCAAAATTATATATATATATAATTATATATATAATTATATATATGTAATATATATATATATATGATATACACATATATACACAACACTATTGGGATGAACGGCAAACATGAACTGCAAACATGAAGCAGCTGGGATGGCTACAGTGAAGGTTCATCCCAAATGAAGGAGCCCCACAAGAATTTGATCACATGATTCATCAGTTGGCAGGTTCTAAAAATGACCACTTCTTCTGTTGGTGTTTTTTCGTGCTCATTAAAGCTCTATACCTTTGGGGATTCAAGCATGGCAATGGAAATTCCTTCACTTACAGATGTTTTTGGCATTTAAATATATTTAAATGCCCATTGAGGGGATTTCACAGCCCGCCATGTTTAACTACCAGAGGCTATGTCCTTTCAGAGGCCCCCTACCGGCCCTCCACTATCACTTGTCCTTCGTGAGTGGCAAGTGTTCGAGGAAGAGTTGCAAATAGGAGCGATTCCCCAACCTCGTATCGACTGTCCGTGTCGCTTCAGCAAAACCCCAGCAATCGGTTGGTTATTCACCAGAAATATGAAGCATACCCCCAACAAATCCAACAACTGCAATCTTAGTGGTAAATATGATGACTAACCCCATGCCATTGCGATTCATCTCTTGTCTTTTGGGGTTTCTTTGTCGGCAAATCCTCGGGCAAAACCATGGACAGCAGGCTGAGGTCATGGCAGAACCACCTGTCGATACAGGGCCTTGGGCCAGACCTCAACGTGCTGAAAGCCTTGAGACTCCAAGGATCTTACATGAATCGAAAAGAGACAAAGATGAATCTGAATGATCACCAAGGAAGGTGACTAGGTGAATCTAGGTGACCATGTTTGCAACATTATCTATACAATTCTATATAGATATTTGATGATATTTGAGACATCTCTTTCCGTCAAACATAAGGTCCTGGCTTTGGATAATCCGTCGTAGATGTGGCGATAGGCGCTGACCTCATGAGTCTGCGGTGTCATCAAACGTGGCTGGGAATTCCACCATTTCGTTTGATGTTTCTCCCATTACACCTCAAAATTCTCCTCAGTTTATGGAGGATTTCCCAGCTACTTCTGTAAGTAGCCACGTTTAATGACACTGCAGGGTACTTCTGTAGGCTCTTCAGTACTGCATAAGTATATTTCAGTATATATGTCCATGTAACATTTAAAGCATGATGTTCTATCTATCAAGGCTGTCACCCCAAACATAGAAATCACAAGAATCCTACTTGGAAGTTCAGTTCCAGTGGTAAATGTATATATATATATGTGTGTGTAATATATATATATATAACCATAGTTGTAGTTATAGTGGATATATCCCCAACTTATCAGGCTTTATTATGGTTTATTCACCAAAGGTAATAGAATTTGCAACCTCAACTGCACCCCCAATGGCTCCATCAACATGGCCATCGGCAGGATATCTGCAGGATATCCGCAGCTGAGGATCCAGCAACTTCAAAGGTGGCAATGAAGTCTTGGTGGTACTCAGCGAACACCTACAGGATCTACCACGAAGAATCCAAGATATCCAAGATGCAGTGCCCAAAATGGACACACGTGTCGTCTTGATGAATTTCTATTGTAAGTCAAAAAATGGGTGTGTCTGAAAATGGTTGTCTTTTTGACCATCCCCAATTTAGGGCATTTTAATGACCACATATGGTGATGATCTAGATTTACGGGTTTTCATTGTGTATCCCATTTTCAGACAACCCATATGAATATGCCATCTCCATGCCTCAACCTCCTTCTGCATCAGGTTGATCACTACGAAAACGTCGCCGGCCTCAGTGTTGTGCCAACCAACCCACATCAAAAGTGTAGATGGAACGCCCAATCTTGTGGGAATTGAATCGGACTACAAATGAATGCTATTGTTGCATTTCTCTGACCCAATTGGGCGCAATAGATCACACCTCCTGATCTTCAACCTTGGGTGTAAGGTATACTCCAAATGAATAGCGCCATTTGAATTCGCAAATTCATGAAAACCTTGGATCTTGGGGGAATTTCATGGAATTTCCTTATTTTCAGACACGCAGCTTGCATTCACAGTCACTTAGCTGTCGTCACTGGGCGCCCCACTGGTCCAAGGGAAAGGCTTGGTGTGGCGGCGGGCTCGGAAGTGATCTTTCCCTCAAATCCTGATGCAACCGCGGTCACCCAACGACACAAGCAGGACGATGTAGGTGTACCCCAAAATGGCCTTTGTTTGAAAAAAAATGCAGAAAAAAGCAGGTGGATCTGCTGGTTCATCTTGATTTTGATTGTAAAAATTGGTCATAAATTGGGAGTATGCCAAAAAAATGATACACATCCAAATGAGCCAGAATCTTGAGGAGTGTTTGACCATATTTGAAAAAAAAAACATATGGGGGTGTCTCAGAATAGGGGGATCCCTAAAACCATAGGTTTCAATACTAAAATGGTCTAATGACTTGGATGATTTGAGGGTATCCCCATAAGAAACCCCCATATGGCTTTGTCTGAAAATAAGGCTACCCCATGGTACCCCCATTCCATCCATTGCTTAATCATGGTAAATCACCATTCTCCCAAAATTTGCCATGGCCATTTGGAGATAGCCCATTTTCAGAGAACCCCATCAGATGGCACCAAAAAAGGGCTGAAACCAGGTCCTTTAGCCACAATGCCTGGTGCTTCCGCCTCAGCCGCAGTTGATCTTCGATCAGGCTGTTTCAAAGGGGGGAAACAGAAAGTTGGGAAAAGGACACTTAAATACAATATATATATATATACATATATATATATATATTTATATTATAATGTACATTTAAATACAATCATCTGGGAATTCTAAGATATTCTAAGTACCAAAAAATGGACAATGGATGTAAACGCGAAGGAAACGTGAAAGAAACGTGAAGGAAAGACCCAATCAATTGGTAATTCTCAGTGGCACAAGTTGGTATTAAAATCTACATGTGAAAGATAATTAAAGACCCTTTTGGAAGGTTTGTTTCTTTGCCCCTGAAGTTTCAGAAACACCCGGACGGTGGAAAAACCGAGGCTGCGACCTCCTTGACACCCTCATCTTGATCTTGGTCGTTCCCCTCAACGGTGGATGCGGAAGCTGTGACAGCATCAGCCTTGGCAAAGCTGTGCTTTTGCAGAGAGTCACTGCACACAGTTGTGTCCCAACGAAGCGGATTGCCCCTGAAATCAACAATTTTCGTTGACTTTTGGATTTCAATGGATTTCAACCATAATTACAAGTAATTACAAGCATCATCACACATTATCCACATCATTTTTCTACATGTTATGGTTTTATGTCACCCAAATCACAGGTCTAAGGTGGCGACCCAACCCTTCTGTCGGCCCGTGGCATCCAGCAAGGCGTCCGCCAGTGCTTCGGGACCTGGACATCGAAAATCACCATTTTTTATCTATATATATATTATATTATTATATTGTTCTGGAAAATCACAATTTTTTAATCAATTTTATAGACTGTTCTGGAAAATCACCATTATTGACTTATTGATCAATTTTATAGCAAATCATGGAAAACATCTTGACTGGGCCATGGCTTCCAGTGGGCAAACTGGCTGTTCAACTTGGATCTAAGGCGCAGCAAACCCCGTTTTTCGACAACGACTGGGTCGACCACCATCCGCAGGCACATCCGCCCAGTCCATTGTCTCCTGACAGGATGGAGGTATCAGGAGGTCATTAACCACAACTGGTAGCGTCCAGGAGGCAAATATAGCAATTGGAATCCCCCACTTTCATTGATAAAGGAAGTCATGTTCAACGTTCCTATCTGTGTATAGATGAGATTATCATTAGTGGCTGATATGGTTGATTGGATAGGAGCTCCAGCTGGCTTGAGTGGTGAAGTAGTTCGCTCTACTGTTTTGATATGTGTACCCTGGTCCGTTTATAGATGAATTCCTCAATGCCCATTGAAGATTCATATGTTCATACATGTTCCATAGCTATGTTAATTACCTATGGATATCTGACATCTGTGTTGTTGTTCTTGATTTGCAACACAAAAGGGAGGCTCTTGCAAGGCCAGCGTTGTTTCTTGAAACCTGGACAAGCCAACTTTGCAGTCCCAACAACATCCATTTCTGCTGAAGACCAAAGCGGCCTTTGAAATCCCGAACATGGCTGAAATGAACTTCCCCCATCTTCAATGACATGTCCAACCCAACTTGGGGATTTCGGAGCAGTCAAGTTCACCCGAAAACGGTCAGTCAACGGTCAGTCAACGCTGGGAAAATGGGTCAACCGTTGGTCAACCAATCCCCACTTTCGGCTGACCAAAAATCGCCCGTCCTGCCCTGCTGCAGCGGCATTTTGCTGCTCATGTAAGGAGGCTGCCAGGTGAATTTGCACCGCCTGCGAGCTGGAAAAATTCTCAAATCCAGGGAGTTTGTCCCCACAAAAAGGGTTATTGGTGAAGGAATTTCCCATGTTCCAACATTTTTGGATGGTCATCTGGTTGATTCATTTCCCATTTTCCAACATTTTTGGATGGTCATAATATGTCATAATCCACATTTTCATACAGTTTCCCATCGCACCTTCAGTTGCAAACAGATCAACGTGGCACGCTCATTCGCAATGAGGTGGCGTTGATGTCGCTTGCCCTTCAAGAAGAGACGAGCCTCAAGCACTAGTGCTACTCTCCAAATTGGGTGTAGAACCAACAATATGTGGGGATATATACTATGGGATATAACCGTGTATATATTAGATTAATACATATAGACATAGAAATAATTACATATAATATATAATATATTATATAAATATACAGATAATTAGAGACATACCATAGAGGTGTTTGTGAGTCAAAAGTCTGCTCTGTTGGGAAGCGTCAAGCCTGAAGTTGGTTGATCCTATCAACTGCGTTCTTACCCGAACATCGAAAGATCGCTAACGTGCGGAGGTAGCGTTTGAGCAACCGTCAATCGGCCTCAATCACTTTGTGCATTTTCTGTTTCTCAACTGAGCCCAAATGATCCTTGGACCAAGCTTTGCACACATTGCAAGTACATAGATAAGCACAGGATCAGTTGCTCCTCTCCTTCCTGCCACCGTTTGTCGAGCGTCAAGTCAAGGGCCAAGGGAGGCCGATGACAAGTTGTAACGGTCCATCCATATCCAACTTGTTCACCCTGCATTCGCAATGTGAGTTTCTCTATAGTCTATATAACTATCCTGCTGAGGATGGTGCCTTCAAATATCTATATGATTCTATATGATTATATATGGCTCGAGCTTTTTTGGGACCAGCATAGCCAGGACTCATTTTCCTTAACCAAACACTTGCCATCATCAACTCCAGAAACTACCCTGAAAATCCCAAATAACTCCGTCATTCCCAGGTTCTCCATGGTTCGCCCTCTCCTCAGAGCAAATGTCTGTCCACTTGCGACCTGGCATCTGATGTTGATGGCCCTTTGAGAAATTTCCCCATGGCAAGGCTCAGACAGTAGGACTCTTTTGTACAAAGGCAGTCCCAAAACATTCCCAAAAACAGAGCAGAGTTCTAGCAGAGGCTTTTCTTCCTTTGAGTTGGATTGCTAAGATATCATTTTCATATCATTTTCATATGTTTTCATGGAAGGTTTCCCCCATGCAGTATGTTTTCCATATCTAAAGATGACGATTTTGCTGGCACTGCGTGGCTAAGTCAAGGTGAATCCAACCCCTTGGCGGAGACACTGCGCCTAAGCGCTCTGCGATTTCCCCGGCCTGCGAGGTCCAAATGGCTATGAGTCAAGAGCCTTGGCCCCAAGTGCCCTAAAATAGTGAGTTACTAGATGTTTGTTCCCCAAAATATGGGAATAACCGGAATAACGAGTTCTGATATGTTCTGATCCCATCCCTAAATGATGAAGTTGTAATGGTTTGAATAATGTGCAGTTTAACTACATGTTTCACAAGTCAACAGACCCTATGAGTCAAGGATTACATAAGTTATGCCCCGCAGAAGGGTCCCGGCCACCCCCACTACAGCTGCCCACAGAAACCATTAAACATGTCATGGGGTTGCACCCATCAGATTTTGACTAAGCTTCGGAATCCTGGCAGTTTGGACCCTCCATCCATCTCTAATCTTTCAATGGCTGCGGCCGACCTTTGTTTCCAATAGCTCGGCCAATTCGGCTTCCATCCCGAAACAGCAGTGTACCTAGCAGCTGCTGATTTTGTGGTTGGATCCAGTTGAATGGAATCTATCAATATCTATCATATATTATGGACACACCCAAGTGGTATGTGGACCCACCCTTTTGTTGATTCCTGGCGCACTTGGACTTGAACCTCCAAATCAAGTGGGAAGTGGGCGTGCAAATACCTGCCGGCTGGTGATCTTGCAATCCGAAGTGAGGGTTTCCTAAGTCATGGGGATACCCGGTACCCCCAAATCATCCATTTTTGTTTGGGATTGTCTATTATAAACCAGCCATTTGGGGTATCCCCATTTATGGAAACCTCCAAGTTGCCTCCAAGTGATAGAAAGGAAATTGAGAATGAGATCGCGCATGATCTCCATGATTGGGTGTCAATTCACCGCAGCAAACATCAACAAAGCAGGTTCCTACCATCTATAGCTGCGCCACATTCACAAAAACCACCTCTTTCCAACTCAGCCCAGATTCTGCACCTGATCAATGCCACTGCCAATGGTGAATGCTGACCATACGTCTTGCAGGCTGCGTCCTGGTATGATGGTGCTGGTGCATAAGGAGGCCCTTCAATCATCTTAAATCTGGAGCCATCATCAACAAGCATCAAGCAACAGGGGTCAACAGGGCTCAGGGGTCACCAACCACATCACCAGGTGGTCCTGCCAGGTACGTTTGCCTTCCGAAAGCAGCAGCTGCAACTGCCCATGTCTGACCTGATAGGTGACAACGGTGACAACCCAAAGATTGAACACCGAAAATGGTGAAAGATTTGTGTCCCATGGGTGGCTTCTGGGTTCCAAGCCAACAAGCCGAACATGTATTCCTGGCACCGTGGATCTTGGGATATCGGTGAAAGGTTGCTGGTATCACTCTGGAGGGATCCGGGCCTGACCCGGGACCCGCACACAGCAAGTTTGAAAGTCAGTTTCAACAAATGAGGCATGTGTAAAGGTGCTAATTTTTAGGCGGCCAGACCATAGCATGGTACTCCGGAATTGCCACCAACAGCCGAACCAAGAGGTGAAAGTGTCCCCGATTCACCTCGTCACTTCACAGGTATGCTATATGTAATGGTGGCAATGGCACCATGAATTGATGACGTTGTTCTGAGACAGGCATACACATGACATGAATCGAAATCATGAATTTAGAAGTATCAATGAGGCATCATGACATTCCACGAGACCCCAAAAAAAACAACTCTATGAAAATTCTCTAAAATTCTAAAAACCCATGACTTTACTGGATGGAAACTTTAATCAGCGATGTTCCTTAAAGAAGGCAGTAGCTCTGAGTGCCAGACATACAGCTCAGCTCGGGAATGGAGGAAGGCCAGTAGCCTAGTGGAGCGATGGTGAACCACCAGTGGTGCAGTGATGTGAATGATGGCTGAATGACCCATCCAAAAACCCGACGAAACACGGCAAACATCATCTCATATTGGGTTATATTACCCTCTGGTAAACTAGCATAGCTATTGAAAATGACCATATATAGTGGATTTTCCCATTGAAAAATTTTGATTTTCCATAGTTATGTTAGTTTACCAGAGGGTATGTTATATTGGGATACAAAATGAACATTAACATGAATGAACCCAACCCCAAACTCATCAAATCCAAAAATCCGTCCTGGTCGATTGGGGTCTGGGAAAGCTATGGCTTTCCCAACCGAGCTCCAGACTCACTCACGGATCGCTCACAACATCCCTCATTGCGGCTGACGTGTGACTGGAAACCATGGGAAACCAGGTCACACTGCTGGGTTAGGGGTGGTTAGGGTATGGATGGGTATGGTGTCATATCTGCATGGATGCATTTTGTGGATATGTTTGGATAGATTCTGATGATTCCTGGGAGTATTGCGGTTAGGATCAACAGTTTCAGTGAAGAACAAAATATGCTTCTGAAACTGTTCTGTTGAGACTATGCTGCATCCATCTCCATTCTCTTTTGCATCAACCATCGTCCAGGTCAACAAATGCATCTGTGATGGCCCCAGGGTGGATCTGTTGAAAGTCAGGTGCTGACCTCGTGCCAAAACCACATCTGGAACCACATCAACTAAGGTCCTATGGGTGCAATATCCACTTTGGGGTAGTGCACGTTCTCAAAGCCTTCCAACCACCCCAAGCTTATCTTTTTTGAGTTCGCACAGAATGTTAAGGGCATCGATCAAATTTCCAAGACACCAAAGTCCTCCAAACATCTGGGGTTGTCTCCAAAACTGGCATCAGAAAATTTCCTGGACCAGTTTCCCTACTCTTTTATACTGTATACCGCTGTATACCCCATTTCTGCACAATCTGATTCTGGGATATTCTGAGAATCACCAAACAGCGCACCTGCACGTAGGAATGGTACGCCATCACCAGCACTTCCACTTCTGTCTCCGGGTCCAAGACTTGTTGGGCCTCACTTGTCTTTGTCGAAAAGCAAAGCTTCACGAAAAAAACGGAAAGCACCTGCTGAACCTGGTTCAACCCACTTTTGGGTCTTTTGTGAATCGGCTGATTTCAAAGAGTGGCTGAACAAAATAAGCCAAGTGAAGCACAATTTGAGATGCGTAGTCGACCTTGATGTCCCTCCTGCAAGAAGGATGTGAGGACTCCGGGTGGCGCATTGGTAAAGCTCTACCTCCTGTTGGGGTTGCACAGCCATCGTGGGTAGCCCTCCCATTGGTGCAAATTGACCTCAAAATGGCGAATTGGGTTTTGGGGAGCCATCCCCAAAAAGATAGAAAAGTGGATTCCAGGAGGTTGCAGATGATATTTACTGCTATTAAGCAGGAGGTTGGTTTCTCTTTGTTCCAATCTTTTCAATCTATTTTGGGGTTGCTGCATTCTATTTTCAACATTTCAGGATCCACCCCTTTTTTAGGCCGACAAAAAGTGCCCCCCTCATGCCATCCCCCACCTGAAGCTTGGAATCCAGAACAAAGCTGCGTTGCCTAGGAGCTCCTGCGCCAGTTAAAGCTTCACAGAGTTCTTTCAGACATGAGCCCAGTTCACACTCTTTCAGATCCATTCACTACTTGGAGGATCATTCCAGTTGTTCCAGTTGTGCTTCGGAACCATCGTTGGTTCACCCACTGAAATATCTGTGATAACCATGGATAACCCACGACGATCACCAGGTTGCCACCTGCGACGGACTCAACAGCCCCACGAATTCGTCCAACTTCTCGTCTGTCCATGGCATGACGCCATTCGACAGCCTCGGCAACTTTTAGAATGGAAGCTGTCCTGGAAGCCGAAGGAATCTTTGAGCATATCAGATTTTTCAATAAACACAATTCTTATCTCCGAGGCTGCACAGGATTTCGAAACACCACATAAATTACTACCCTATCAGTTTTTCAATCAAAAGATTACTACCTCGGAGGCTGACAATTATTTTCAAATACTGCATAATAATCTGTAGGTTGGCAATTACCTTCAGCTGAGCACCCTCACATCGATTCCACAAAAGCATTCGCCAGCACCTGTCGAAGAAAAAGTGTGAGCGTCACAGCCAGTGACTGCAGTCATTAAGTTGGAGATAGCATGCAGGCTTAAGGGGTGAAATTACCCTTACTTTGGAAAATAATCAATTGGCTGCTAAGTGATAGAGGAGAGGTCCCTCTAAATACCGAGACTCAGCAGCTCTGGAGGGCTGGGTAGCAGTCCAAACTCACGCCCACATGATCTATATGGCACACTTGAACAAACGGTTAAACGAAATCTTGGAAGCTGACAACTGATCAACACATGGGAATGGGTCAAAATCTATTGACCCAATAGAGAATGGATGTTTTCAGATCCCCAAATGACCCAATTTTCAGGGGTTCCATAGTGGGCCTCAGCCACTGCGGTTGCATCCAGCGGCCGCGAGAAGCAGGTGATGAGATTCCTCCATGTCCCCCCACAATTGAGAAGGACAAGGGTCAAGGGTGCGGGCCAGAGGTATTTACTGTAATAGGTATAACGGTTTAACGGTATAACCATGGGATTATAGCCTGCACAAGTTGGGACATAACTTTTATCTATCAACTCACAACTTATATATAATTCACTACTGCATCCCCAAGAAGGATCAAGATGTTTGGGGTTCAGAGTTCAGTGCCCCCCAAAATTGTGCGGGTTTTAGCTTCCAGTCAACCCTCCGTTTTAGGGCTCAATGATTCCAAAGTGGTGCGTCATTATCATTCTTGTTTTTCCCTAGTCCTGAAGCAGGACTGCAAGGCCTAAACACTAAACTACCTGTAGACATGTTGCCTGGAACATGTCACATGCAAAGACACGCAACGGGAGTAGGTCCTCCTCTGATTTGTGATGCTTTACGACTTTACGACTGTTTTCCGGCAAGCCAAGCATGACTATGCATGACTTGGCCCTGATAGGCCATCTAAACTAATCTAATTAATTTGGTTGTGACCATCCCCTCCTCGCTCCAATAGCAAGAATTGTAATCCCTTCCCCCCTAAATTAAACATCCCCTAGAAACCGTGCTTTAGTAGGAGATTTACACATATTTGGGACTATTTGGCACGCCTACAGAGCTCGAAGTCAGCCACGTATGGCCTCAGTTATGGCCCGGCAGCGCAGCGTTGGCTGGTTGTCTGGGGCTGTTGCTTCAGGGGTCGATTCCAAGGCAGAGACAAAATGTTCTCAACTCCCCAAATGGTGGATGTATATATGTGTATGTGATTATGTGGATGTTTGATTGGGAAAGTAAGCCTAAATATATCCATAAATATCCTAAATATCCTGTGTATGTATCCTAGTTCGAAGCCTGGGGTTGTTTAAAAGTGCCTAAATATCCATAAATCAACTTTTAAACACCCCCGGACTTCGAGGCTGGTGTTCAGCCAGTGAATTTTCCAGGCCCTCAGACTGTGGGCTCAGGAGTAGCGAGAGCAGCCGGGTGGGTTCGACCTTTTTGACCTTGGCGGTGGCCCACTTGGGACTTCGGAAAACTGGGAAAACATCGAGCATCTGGCCACCTACCTGGCCAGGTGGGAAAGTCTCTTGATTTGAAGATATTTGAAGCATTTTCAACCTCTGATTCCTGGAGATTGGGAAACAAAATCTGGATCTTTTGGCGCCTCAAAGAATGATGGACTTGATTTGGGATAGATTCAGCTTGGGATCTTTCCACCCAGATTTTGCTGGGAATCCATGAGGGAAGTTGTTGGAGTGCAGCCACAAGGGCCAATATACGAAGATTGGTTCATGGTTAAGGGAGAATTGACTGGAAAACCAGTCAGCTAGCCTAGCTATTTCTTGATGCTAGGAATTATCAAAAAAGAATCGTAGTTCACCAGTGGTTTCCTGATGTTCCTTTCCAATTTCCCAAAATCCACCCAGTGAATGATTAATACAGTATCAGGTCCTTTCATCTCATGAAAACGGTCAGAATTGGATCATGCAAGGGTCTTCCATCACCCCAGCCTCTTGGTAGTCCATCTCAATGCTTCTGGAGACCAAGTAGAACATCATACCTGAGGGAAATGACTTTTGGATGTCGAAAAGCCCGGAGCAAAAATCAAGAGCCTGCAAATGCCTGGTATCTATATAATTAGAATCATTAGAGGCATGACGAGTTTCTTCACTTTCTCCTGTAAAATTCGGCTGTGAAACCAATGGTTTGGGCCAGAGGGGTATCCTCCAATCTTTGACCATACCGGGCACGCAAATGTTTCTTTCATGAAGATCCCGTATGGTGGTTGAGACACTATGAAAATTCATCGCCGAACTCCTTGCGCGTCCCCCTATTTCATGACTATCATTGTGGGGCACCACCCCAAATACACAGCCATCATTCCCAAATAACATGTACACACCCGAAATCAGCTTTGGCAAGTTCGTTCCTGGGGTTCTAATAGTTCACCCAGATCATCTTCAAAACCACGAAGCAACCAATCATTCCTAGCGGTCGTACTCCCCAATTTCTTCTTAGTCTCCATCTCTGTTGAACATGTGTGTCTGACACCATGACCCACCACGATTTACTGTATCTACTTTACTTTTACACTTTTACCATAAGATAAAACGAGACTGACCCAAATACCTCAGAGATCCCATATTGGTGATGTATCTGCACTATATCCATATCCCCAGTATATCCCCATGATATCCCCCATATGTTTCTCGGCGTCCCTGGCATCTGCGACAGTACAAGGCGATGCGTGGGGAGCAGTGCCTTGCCACTGGAAAGGTCCGCATTTTTGTGGGAAAGCAGTGAGTTGGAAATAGTTGGAGTTTCTGTAGTTCTTTTTGGGTGGCAATTCCCACGTTCTTCCTTTTTCTGACCCCATGTTCTTAAAGCGACAAGATAAAGCATGTTCATTGAATGTTTGCTGCACTGTGATTTAGATGGCAGGAGCTCTCCACCCCAATGCCAAACATTGTTGCGTCTATGTTCAATCGGCCATGACTAGTTGGGTAAGGATCAATTTGGACGCCGCAACCCAGAGATTGGTTGGTCATGTTCAGAATGCCACCGTCCAAGTTCTGTGGTTTTGCCGCGATTTTAGGTAGTTGTAGATCCTCGGCTGTTATTCTATATTATCACCGTTGGGTATTAGCTGTGACGTTGGATCTCCATAAAATAGAATAAACTAAACATGTCCGCATATAAATATAAATATATATATATATACATATATATATATAAATAAGGCAATTTGCTGGTTCATTCTATTCTCTGACCAGTGGTGGTTTCGGAACGAGGCGTGGTCCTGCCTGTTTGAAAGAAATATCGTTTGCCCCTTTGGCTGGTGTAAAAGAAACATGATCTTTTTCCAGGGGGTCCCCTGCTTCACCCAAGATGCCAAAAACGCCATTCAGCCACCATTTTGTCTGATTTTGCCATTTTTTGGCAATGATTTGATTTTTCTTCACAAGGTGCATCGCCTCAAATTGTGTATGTCTATTATATATCTTTGTGTGTATTGGTAATTCTCTCTCACCTCGGGGAAGGGTGGATGTGCCATGATAGTACAGCAACCTCCGACTGATAGTACAGCAAGTGCCATGATTCCGCAGATTCAGATTGCAAGTGATGGTTGCTTGATTTTATCAAGGAGCTGACCTGCTTCTTCCTTCCTCCTTCTTCTTCTCCTCGCCATCCCCCACCTCCAGATCTCAGTGGGCACTGCCGGACCTGAATCGCGAGACCCGAAGCGCAGTGGACACTGCCGGACCTCAACTGCGAGCTCCAGAGCTCAGTGGGCACTGCCGGACCCCAACTGCGAGCGCCATATCCCAGTCAGATAGGATGCCAGATAGAATGTCAGATGATGTGTCAGATAGAATGTCAGAAAATATATCAGGTAGAATATGTAGAATGGCAAAATATATGTCAGAATAAATGTCAGATAGAATGCCAGACAGAATGCGAGATAGAATTTCAAATAGAATGACAGAATATATATATATACATATATATATATATATATACATATATACATATATACATATATATATATATATGTTTTAATATGTATATATGTGTCATATCATAATATGTCATTCCAAATGACCATTCCAAATGTCAGAATTTATGCCTCGGGGTGGGGATCACTCGAAGTAAAGTAGTGTTCTTTAGATCAGCAGCATGATCTAGGTTGAGATCCAAGACTGCATTCGATGTGCTGAACATTGTACATCTAATATTTGTCGCTCATGCTTGGAGAGCCTGGATACCATCAATTCATCAGGTGCCGTGAAGCGGCGCATCATTCTACTGATTTCTGGCCATTGATTCTCATGGACAGCCTGGCTCCAGACATGCTCAAACATCTATTAACAGATTTACCAGTATATCAAAGCAAATTATCTAATGACAGGAATCACAGGCGAGACGGGATCAGACATGATGCATCTAATTTCAATCCCATCATGTACGGAGTTTATTCCTGCTGATTCGATTCATCCATGGAAAATATGGAAAGGGGCCTGGACAAGGCAAAGTTCACAAAACTAGTGGTCGCCGTATTGGGGGAGCACCTCAATGACGCCAAAGAGGTCCGCATGATCAGCACCAGGCTGTGGAATGAAATCCTGAAGGAACAAGACAAAACTCCTCCAAAAAGGAAGAGCGGAAAAAGTAACTGGGCCGCCTGGAATGAAAAGAAGAAGCGGCGTGATGGTGAGAAAGCAGAACAAAATGGAATGCCAAAGCCAGCTGCCGAAGTCCAATCGCCGCAGAAGTCTCAGGTGAAAAACCGGATGCAGCACGAGGCTCGGGAAGCAGTGGAAAGTGGAATGCCAAAGCCAGCTGCCGAAGTCCAGCTGAAAACCAATATCAAGCGCGAGGCTCAGGAAGCAGGAAACTCCAAATCGAGCTGCAGAAGTCACATCGCCGCAGAAGAAGCCCCGGGTGGAAAAAGTGATCAAACGTGAGGTTGCACAAAGTGCACTGCCATCGCCGCAGAAGAAGCCCCGGGTGGAAAAGGTGATCAAACGTGAGGTTGCACAAAGTGCACTGCCATCGCCGCAGAAGCCTCGGGTGAGAAGACTCACCATACTGAAGAAGGGTGTGCATTCGGACTGAATGCGACCGCATGGGGAGAAAAAGCTGCTTGCAGCATGAACTCTTTCAGAAATATCTCAGCATACAAGCTGCATGATGAATTATCTAGTTGAACTGTAGGCACGTCTCCGTGACACTGAGAATGGATTGGGTATCGTTCTGGTTGTGCCAGGTGCATTGGCCAACCTTTGCGGTAGGGCAGCCGCAAGATTTAATTCTGGTGAAGGAAGATGGGATCAACATGTACATTGTTCATCTTTGCATATTTTGCAATGATCTGCTGCAATCTGCTGCACGCACGCTATTTGCGCGCATGTGCCCAGGAATGTCAGCGTGTCCAGTATGTGCGCGCACGTGCGAGTGTCCCTGCGCGCACACTGTCCGCGCGCATGTGCTAGTTTTGTCTTGCTTCCAATGTTTCCAGATTTGGAATTCTATACAATGGGTTTTGATTGCCTGGCAAGGTTTGGCACCATTAATTGGTCAATATTAGTAAAGCTTCATGGTGAAGGATTGTGCACTTTGGCTGCGCGCGTGTTTTTTGCGCGCATGTGCGCAGGAATGGCAGCGCGTCCAGTATGTGCGCGCATGTGCGCGTGTCGCTGCGCGCACACTGTCGGCGCGCATATGCTAGTTGGGACAGTTTCCAAATGCTGCGCGCTTGTTTTTTGCGCGCATGTGCGCAGGAATGGCAGCGCGTCCAGTATGTGCGCGCATGTGCGCGTGTCGCTGCGCGCACACTGTCGGCGCGCATATGCTATTTGGCAGGGACAGTTTCCAAATGCTGCGCGCTTGTTTTTTGCGCGCATGTGCGCAGGAAGATGGCAGGGCGTCCAGTATGTGCGCGCATGTGTCCCTGCGCGCACATTGTCGGCGCGCATATGCTAGTTGGGACAGTTTCCAAGAATGGGTTCTCATTGCTTAGCAAGCCTTGGCACCATTATTGGATCATACTATCATTATTACTACCTTCGTGGTGCGGGATTGTGCATTTTGGCGGCCGGGTGCAGGGATCTGCTGCGCGCGCGTTTTTTGCGCGCATGTGCGCAGGAATGGCAGCGCGTCCAGTCTGTCGGCGCGCATATGCTAGTTGGGACAGTTTTCAAACTTGGAATCCTACGATGGGTTCTCATTGCTTAGCAAGCTTTGGCACATATTATTATTAAATCATATTACTATTGCTACTATATTACTGGCTTTGTGGTGCGGGATTGTGCACTTTGGCGGCAGCTTGCTGGGATCTGCTGCGCGCGCGTTTTTTGCGCGCATGTGCGCAGGAATGGCAGCGCGTCCAGTATGTGCGCGCATGTGTCTCTGCGCGCACACTGTCGGCTAGTATATGCATCATATGCTAGTTCGGCCAGTTTGCAAACTTGGAATCCTATACGATGGGTTCTCATTGCTTGGCAAGCTTTGGCAGCATTATTCGATTATATATACATATATAATATTTCTATTATTACTATAACTTTGTGGTGCAGGATTCTGCAATTTGGCGGCAGCTTGCTGGGATCTTCTGCGCGCGTGTTTTTGGCGCGCATGTGCGCGCGCAGTTTCCAAGCTTGGTATACGATGGCTTTTGATTGCTTCGCAAGCTTTGTCAGCATAATTAGTCAGTATAGCTTCGTGGTGCAGGTTTGTGCATTTTAGCGGCAACTTGCTGGGATTAGCTGCGCGCTTTTTTTTGCGCGCATGTGCGCGTTCAGTATGTGCGCGCTCTGCGCGCGCACCGTCGGCGCGCATTTGCTAGTTGGGCCAGCTTCCAAACTTGGAATCCTACGATGGGTCTTGATTGCTTGGCAAGCTTTAAGGTCAGTGTAGCTTCGTGGTGCAGGATTGTGCATTTAGCGGCAACTTGCCGGGAACTGCTGCGCGCGCGTTTTTTGCGCGCATGTGCACAGGAATGGCAGCGCATCCAGTATGTGCGCGCCTGTGTCCCTTCGCGCACATGGATGCGGGGTGGGCCGGTGTCGTGTCTTGTGGGTGGCTTGCGTGTCTTCCTGTTGTGGCAACCCTCCAGGAAGAAAAGACTGTCTCAGAACAGGCAGTGAGCGCACAGGAGCCAACAGAATTTCTTGTGTCTGCTAGTGTGTCATCCGTTTGTTTCAATTGGCCTTTCGATAGTTCTCACTATGCTTGAAGCCCTGTTTTCCAGTGAGTTGGCTGCATATGCTGCCGTGTGCCGCATTTCTGCATATCCGCTTTTGCCAGCAGTTGGGTGAGAATTTATGTTTGTTGACGCCTGTTTGCCATTCTTCAGGATGAAAAGATGAAAGATGCCCGAGAAGAAGCAGTGGATGCGAAGGTGCAGTGCCAGCAGAGACATTAGCTTGAGATCCAGTCCTTCAGTTGTTTGGAAAATTATAAACTTGCTTGAAGCCCTATTTTCCAGTGAGTTGGCTGCATATGCTGCCATGTGCTGCCTTTCTGCATATCCGCTTTTGGCTGCAGTTGGTGAGAATATATGCTCGTTGACGCCTGTTTGCCATTCTTCAGGATGACAAGATGAAAGATGCCCCAGAAGAAGCAGTGGATGCGAAGGTGCAGTGCCAGTAACGAGACTAGTTTGAGATCCAGTCCTTCAGTTGTCTAGAAAATTATGAACTTGCTTGAAGCCCTTATTTTCCAGTGAGTTGGCTGCAAATGCTGCCGTGTGCTGCATTTCT